GCCAGAATCGACCTGATAGAGAAAGAGGACATCCAGCTTCTGCCAGCAGACTTCATCTCTTCCCCTTTGATCTGAGGAGTAGTGAGAGGCCTTTGGCCGCAGTGACACCCTGTTTATTGTTCACATCTGCTATACAGCAAGGGCCCCAACGTTGGCTAGCCTAGGACAGTACTACTGGCCAGTAGTTTAGAGTGGAGTAGATACTTTTAAGTAGAGATATCAATGTTGATTGCATTCAATCTAAGTATATTATCTGAGACATTCTGACATTGCAGGTTTTCCTGCATGCAATAGACTGCTGCTGCGTGTCAGATTGCCTTATCCTGTTATTGGTTGTATTACATGTGATTGGGGAGCCGTTAAGTGTTTGTTCTATTCCATAGTCATTAAATCTGTTATAAAACTTCACAAGGTGTGCTGGTGTGCTGTGTCACAGAGGTGAAACAGAAGACCCGATCATCCAGCGGCTCCTTCGGGGGTGAGCGCTACACATGTTTTTGCATACATCTACTGCTTGCTAGTAGTAGATGTATGCAAAAAAACGCTGATTGCTTAAAAACCCTTTAATACATGTAATACTATTTTCAGTGTGTCTCTCCAATTGTATGCATCTTTTTGTCAGGGGTGAGAAATTTAAATAAAAGCCACTGAAAATTTAAAAAAAAATATTTGTGTTTTCTTTCAAAGCTTTGTTTCAAATAATTAACCCTGTCTGTACTGTGCTGGCAAATTTTATTATCACTTGTAAACCAGATGAGCAGGGCTGTCCTAACAAAGGGGTAAAGCCCTGAAGACACTGAGGAGAATTTATCAAAACTGGAGCAGACAAAATGTGAGGCAGTTGCCCATGGCAACTAACCAGCTTCTCTCCTCAGTTTGTTTAGTTAATATTTGAAAATGAAAGAGAGAAGCTGATTGGTTGCTGTGTACAGCTGCTCCAGATTTTGTCTGCTCCAGTTTTGACAAATTCCCCTCATTGTATGTTAACGAGGAGATGCTCAGCCTGTCCAAAGTCTTTCTATTCAGACATTCAGAGTTTCCTGTTACTGAAAATGAGAGAGAAGCTTGCAAAGGCCTGCTAAATGGAGATATCTAAAATAAAATATATATTTTTTACATTATTTTTAGTTTAGCTGTGTGAATAGGAACACCTAAAAAAATCACTTGGTAAAATGTCTTACTTGTAAAGGCTTGTTTTTGAAGAGACCTAAAAACATAATAGGAAATTGAAATTAATACATAATGCTTTTTAAAGGTAAACTATATATAGAATTATTTTTAAAACAGGAAGAAACTTACGACTTGGCACCTGAAGAATATCGACTATAATACTGTTCCTGTTTAAAAACATGTAAAACAACACATATTACCAATATTGTAACAATTGTATGTGAAAGAGGCTCTGTCGTTTAAGACCCCGTTCACATTGAGCGGTTTGTTGCACGATTTCTACTCATAAGTCGCGCATATTTCTGCGCAATATCGCTCTATGTAGCTTGTCCAATGCATTTCAATGGAGCTGTTCACATCTCACCGCTCAATGTCGCCTATAGCTCGTCGCGTGTACATGACCCTTTTTTCCGCGGATGTCGCACGATTCGGCTCCAATAGACTCAATGGTGTCGCGCATTACCGGCGATATTGCACGACCTTGTCGTACGACATTGCGCTACAGAAGGGTCACTTTTGCACTGCAAAATGGAAGGAAAGAATGATGTCACAACAAGACCGCTGTTGATTCGTTACAGCCCAATGTAGCAGCGGCAAAGTCCCTCCCAAAAGCCGCGCTATGTAACGCGATAAGATGTGCACTGTCGCTCTAAATCGCGCATTGTAGCTCAATGCCGCTCAGCACCGAATCGCGCAGAAAAATGCACGATTCACCATGTTGCTCAGTGTGAATGGGGTCTAAAACAAGTTGTTGAATAAAAAGTGTTCCCTGCAAAGGAGATAGCAAATGCCTCTCCTGCTTCCTGTGTCAATAAGTGTCCTGTAATTAGGAGAAGTCCACACCTGAAGACTCTTCAGAAACCAACACTTCCAGGAGTGTCGGACCTCTGCGATTCCTCTGCCAAGCTCTATGTCGATAATTTGTCCTGTAGGGATGTAGGGGGTGGCAGTAGGAACCAGTAATCCGCACTCCTGGAAGTGCCTGTTTCTGAAGATTCTTCAGGCAGCGATTTTCTCCCCATTAGTGAAGTAGGGAGCGGGATAGGCATTTACTATCTTCTTTGCAAGAAATCCTTCTATTCACAGTTTTGTTTTAGTGACAGAGGTGCTTTATGGGTACACATTTAGTACGGTTTGAGGTATTCAAAGGGCAACTGCACCTTTGTTTTAAAAATCAATATTGTAATGAGCTTACTGAACTTATGGTCTGCCTAAAGGTGCCCAAATCCCGCGATCGTACGAGAATCATGCAGTGTATGGAAGGCGTGCGACCGTTTCTAATGTACGGTCGCATGACTTTTGCATATCGAGCATGTTGGAAAACCAGCTGAGAATCGTACGATTTCCGGCTTGTTTTTAAGATGATCGAGAGATGACTGCCGAACGGGCCGTTCAGCATTGCAGTCATCGGAAGCCCGCCCCTCAGATGGGCAGATCGTATGTTTTTTTAAGTACTTTACAACCCTCGCAAGACAAAAGTCTTGCGAGGCTTGTAGAGTGTATGGGCACCCTAACTTAAAATGGTGCCTGCTTACAACATCCCTAAGTGACCATCCAGTCTCCTGTGAAAGAATGAGTACACAGCAAGTGCTATCCTGTACTCTACAAGTCATGGCATTTATTTTTCCTGAGGAAACACATTCCTGTCCTCACCACACTCTGTTCATCACACCAGCCTGGTAATCGATTGATGGACATGCTTCATTTTCAAAGGCAGTGACATACATGCATTTATATACATTTCTAAACGCATATAAATGCAAGTAATTAATTCAAATATTATAGCTTGCACTGTTCATTTACCTGTGTTTAGGTGCTTTGAGGTTACTTGCGTTTAGAGAAAGAAGACTCGAAACCCGGAACAAGACAAGGGCAAAGGTGGAAGTGTCAGTGAGGAAGGGGCACATCACTTTGGTGGGAATGCCTGCCATAATGTATTCATATGCAATGCATACTAACACATTATGGCTAAATGTTCCATGATGCTTTCCATCCACCCTTTCCCCCCAACGTTACCTTTGCTTTAATGTATACTAAGTAGGGATGCACCAATATATAGACCGCCGAAACATATCGGCCGAAAATTGCACTTTTGGCTAAATGCCGAAAGTGCAATTTTCTTGCCGATACAGCTGTGCATCCATTCTTTCTCTTCTCCCCGCTGGGCGCTGCTCTGTGTCCCAGCGGGGAGGAGAGAAACTGTCACAGGCGGAGCGCTGCGGGAGAAGAGCGCTGTGAGTGGGTGGCATCTCTCCTCCCTGCACCGCTCAGCCTGCTGTCACAGATCAGAGGAGAGCAGTGTGGGCGGAGACAGCCAGCGCTGTTACAGCAGGCTGAGCTCTACTCCGCAGTGATCGCTGAGTGTTTGTAAATTGAGGACAGAGTATGTTTACTACATCCTCAATTATGAATGAATGGGAAGTGATCTACATCGCCTCCTGTTCATTCATAATTGTGGTTATAGCAAACATACCATGTCCTCATGTTAGGAATGAGCAGGAACACTTAGCATAGAGAATTCCTGTTCATTTATAACAGGGGCTGCAGAAAAAGACATTGAGGACTCTGTGTCCTCAGTCTCTTTTTCTATATTAAAAGGGAAATATCAGGGGTCTGTTTAGATCCCTAATATTTCCCTGAAGCCCCTAACAGTAAAGAAAAAATAAAAATATTTAATAAAAAATTAATTCATAAATAAATATAAATATAAAAACATTCAAAAGTTTATAACTAAAACAATAAAAAAAATATTTAAAACATTTGAAAAAGTTAAAATGAAAAACATTTTCGGTTTCGGCCTGACTTTTTTTATTTCGGTTTTGAAATTTTTATTTCGGTGCACCTCTAATACTAAGCTCACTGCCATATTTATTTTTAAAACAAAGGTGCAGTTGTCTTTTTGCAGTTCTTACCCAATGTTATTGTACAAAATTCCTTTCCACAATCCACATACCTTCAGTAAGGCTGTTTTGGAGTCAGCCTGATACAGATCTTCATAGGACATAGATTTGCTCTCCAAGTCAGCTGCATAAGACAAAATATTATAACTAAATATAAAAGCACAAACACATTGGGCGAAATTTATCAAAACTGGAGCAGACATAATCTGTCAAAAATCTGGAGCAGTTGGCAACCTATCAGCTTCTCTCTTTGGTTTGTTCAGCTGAGGTTTAAAAATGAAAGATAGAAGCGGATTGGTTGGCAGGGACAGATGCTCCAGATTTTGTCTGCTCCAGTCTTGATAAACTCCCTCCATTGGATATACATAGGCTCTTTGGGTGTATTATCAGTTGCAATCAGATTCCAGCTGTCATTTGTCTAGTACAGGTTAGGGCATGAGCACCTTATGGATAACCACAACCTCTGTTATTCTGATGATAGACAGTTGTAAATAGTAATGATAGAAGTGAGACATTCGTTGTCACTACATCTCATTGATGGAAAACAGAAGCTTGTTGGTATGAGGCATGCCCTGAATCATTTGCTTTTATAATGTGTGGACAATGTGACATACGCTGACTCTTTGATGCAAATGGAGAAATTGTTTGGAATCCCTTCAGGTCTGTGCATGAAGAAGTTCTTCTGAGACAATCTTCATTTCTGTGACTGGACTAGAAATCAAATAAGAAGGTGCATTGTTATTTTCATACTGGAGGTCCCTGGATAAAAATGGTTAGTTGCTAATAATCAAACAGGGCAGTTACATTTAAACTGGCCATACACCATGCCCCCTCTACTGGGCTAGTGTATTCTGACAGCAGTGGGTGTGCCACTGTCAGAATACCCAAACAGCGACTTCAGCTGATTGGCAGCAGTCACTCTTTGGACGAGAATGTTTTAGGACCGCTCCATTGACAAAAGTAAATTATAAAAATGAATTGTCAAACAGAGGGGTGTCAACAGGGCCATGCACTGCTCAAAGTCAGCAGTTAGCCAGCTTTAGATGTAGAGATCTATTTATAATTTTTTTTCACACATTTGTTAAAATAATTCCATTGGAAATGTGTAAATCCTGGGTGAAAAAAATTATAAATAGACCTGTAGGCTGTCATAGTGTTCAAATATTGTAAAAAGACAGGCATAACTTCTAACCTGTCTCAACTATTTTGAAAACAAAAGTTTTAGCTGGAAATGGCCTTCAATACTGCTGGCAGAAGAAGCCGGTATAGCAGTCATTTACAGGGCCAGACCGAGGGGGAGGCAGAGGAGGCAACCGCCCTGGGCACTTGAGCAAGAAGGTGGTGGGGGGGGGATGGGGTGTTCAAAAAGGGCAGGACCTGCAACCTATGCTGCTGACATAAATGGGGTCTGGGCCCACTTTGATCTTTTCTCCTTGGGTGCTACAGGCTCTTTTTCTGGCACTGGCTGTGTATAGTTATAAATGTTAGCTGTTGTACATGTGGGTGACTTCTGCTAGGTCTCTAGAGGCAATCCATACGCACACGGGGAATTTAGACCGCAAAGGTGCATCCCTAGTTGATGTATTCCTATTTGTCTATCACATGTAAAAATGTATTGTATGGTCCTGCATGATTTTAAGTCTGTATTAAATAAAAATTAGTTTTATGACATGTAAAAGGTTTTTGTCCAAACCTGTTTAAAGCCCCACCCTGACCGTTAAGATCTAATTTTGGCTACTCTTTTCTCTTCAGTCGCTCTCCTTTTTGGTCTGATCTACAGACCTCTAAACATAAAGTGCTATTTGAATTCGAAATTTATTATACTACCCTAAATCTTTCATCCAACCTGTAAATTATTGGAATTGTCATTATATGTTGTAAAGGAAAAGTAGTAAAAAGAACTTGTGGATTTAACAAATCATGTTTGCATATTAATTCTTTATGGTGCATATAGCTCTGGGGGCATAGCAAGAGTGTGTCCTTTATCTACATTTATCTACATATTGTGTTCCTCATTCCCATCTCAGAAGGTTGAGAGGTATGGAGGTGCTGTAAAAAGATCTCTCATGGCAGAGCTGTACAGGAAAGCTGCTGATGATCAACGCAGGGGTGCTTCCCCATGTGTCCATGTGGCATTAAAGATCAGCTTGAATGAACAAGCAAATAGGGAAGCATCACTACAGTCTGTGCCAATCATCAGTAGCACTTGTACCATGGCTTTGGTGTGGTGTTAGAGTTTCTGTGTCCAGCCCAGGGACAAAGTTGATCCGTTTTAAAAATGTAAAGGGCCGGCATCGGTCTTTAGTATCGGAGCATTCTCAGGAGTACAAGTGCTCCTGAAAATGCCCTGTATCGGGACATCTTAACCATGCCTAATTATGGGCCTAATTATGGGCATGGTTAAGATGGCATTAAAAGAAGCTCCATAGCTATCATATACAGGATAATGTTGCTAACTAGATTTGAAAGCACACATTTTTGTATTGGGCATTATGAGTAAATTAGCATATGGCTGAATGCTGTAAAAGAAAGGTTTACCTCTGTATCCTCCAACATCTGCTTTTTTATGGAAATCTTGCGTCCTGGGTAATAAAGCATATGTGTTAAAATGATATCAATCTGTAATTCTCAAAGCTGTGAAGTGCCTGTAATGTCTATGATAAAATCCATTCTAGCAATACGTTTTTGTTGTTATTGGGTTTACAGAAAATCGAAGTATAGTTTTATCAGGAAAACTAGTACTTTGATAAAATAGTAACATAAAATTACCTGAATGTTTTGATCTTGTCCACAGTTTCTGAAACATCCCAGTATTGACATTGCTGTTAGATGTTTGTTCCAATTTGCTTGGAGCAGATTTATCTGTACTTTCCTGAATATGCTCACTGTGACAATCACTGCTTCCAGTGAGCGATACGCCAGACTGACCATCTGTCTTAGTTGATTCTGTGACTAGGTCCGTCACAGATTCTTCTTCTGATATCTTGAAATCTGGATGCCTGTGGTCATCATCATACTTGTAGATAGCATCACCCCTGTCATCAACAAATGCATAATTTACAAAGCCTTCCTTCTTGTTAGTTTTGCTTTGAAGAGCAACATAAGAAGAGCTGGAAGATTCTGGATATGCTGAAAAAGTGTGGACATTTTTAGGCTGAAGAGGATCATAAAGCTCTGGGGCCACCAGTATTTGTGGATTGTGTATTATTGCTACATTTGAGTGAAGTCTTTTCAAAGATTTAGGCTGATAGAAACCTACTTTCTTATGTTCACTGAAAGCACCTTTCTGGGATTCCAGGTGATCAAATGTTTCATTATGCCAGCCAGATGAGTGTAACAAAGAACTTTCTGCAGGGCCAGTGTCTGAAATATTGATCTTTCGCAGTGAAATTGAAGCTTTAGGTTGGATAACTGTATCAAAACCAGGCTGTGAACGACTCCATATTTGATCACTTTTACTATTTCTCCACATGACAGAATGTCCAAGTCCATCATCAGTGGTCTGCTTTGATAGGCTTATATCACTGGACATGATGCTGTGGCTTCTATTTGATTCCAAGGCTTTCTGAGCTGTCAAGGTTTTCATAGAATCCAAAGTGAGTCCAGAAAGATCTTGTAGGTGTCCAATGTGATCATCTAAATGATGAAGCAACTGTTTAATGAAACCAACATGATCTCTGACATCTTTCACATCACCGAGCATATCTTCCACTCTAGAAAAAATAAAAACAAAATTAATTAAAAATCTCAAATCCTTTTTAATTTGAATGGATTGCTGGTAGAGAAATGACAAACAAAGCAAAGTCTACACTACAAATACGAAGTGTATAAAAAAATATCATAATCCCAAAAAGTGGGGATAGCCCAGAGAATTACAATAAGCCAAATATAATAACATATAGTCACTATGATAATATTACAGAATATATCATATTTACTGACAAAAAAGATTTAAACTGTGGCGGAACAATCGTCATAGCGACCTAGGTGGCCGCTATGGGGCCTGGGGAACGGGTGGCCCAGTCAGGACAAGGAACCCCGATGCTGTGCGAGCCATCTGGTTCGCTATGGCATCTGAGGCTGCTGGCTGTTACTGGTGGCTGTGAGGAGGAACGCACCACTGTTCAGATCACTGACAACCTGTCAGTGATCTGTGCAGCGGCGCGTTCCTCCTCACAGCCGCTGCTGAGTCAGTGAAAGCCAGCAGCGGAGGAGGAGGAGGCTGGGCCCGGCGTCGGCATCAGCGGAGGAGGCGGACAGCGGATCAGGGCTAAGAGGTGTGCAGGGGTGTGACCAGCCCACCTGAGACCCTGCAGAGCCCCCATGGTGGGCTCTGCAGGGTCATTCTCATGTGGCCTGTTTGGGATATCAGGTGGGCTCTGCAAGAGGCATAACTAGAAATTGGAGGCCCACAGATCAAATCCTGAAGGGTTAAACGTTTTTGGGATTGAGATGATACCCGACAATTTTGATGAGGGTATAAGATTTAAGAAATTATGCCAGAGAGAAGCATTTTGGATCAATTCTCTCAATAGTCTTCATCCCACAGGTTTAAATGTAGGTCTTGAGCTGGCCTCCTCTCTCTGAACCCCTGGTAAGAAGCCCCTTACCCACATAG